TAGTGCGTCAGGAGTGGCCACTGATCCGGAAAAGACGAGTTGTGTGCGTACATGGCCAGTGCCGAAAACAGCAGGGGAAGTGCGTAGCTTTGTGGGCTTTGCATCGTATTATCGGCGGTTCGTTAAGGATTTTGCCACGATTGCTCGACCATTGCATACGCTGACCGGGAAAGGTGTAAAGTTTCAATGGGGGATTGCTGAACAAAAATCGTTTGAAGCGTTGCGGGCCGCACTGGCGGACGCACCGCCGTTGGGATACCCGGATTTTACGAAGCAATTTATACTTGACACGGATGCCTGTGATACGGGCATAGGCGCGGTTTTGTCACAAATGGTTGATGGCGTCGAGAGAGTGGTGCCATATGGCAGCCGGGTGTTATCGCCGGCAGAGCAAAAATACTGTGTGACGCGTAGGGAATTATTGGCGATTGTCCATTTTGTGTGCCAGTACCGACCGTATCTATACGGCAGGGAATTTTTGATCCGCACTGATCACGCGGCGCTACAGTACTCGCTGCGCATAGGTCAGCAATCGGGGCAAATGGCTCGCTGGATTGAGACCCTCCAGGAGTACTCTTTCACGATCCAGCATAGGAAAGGGACGCACCATGTAAACGCGGATGCTTTGTTGAGGTTGCCGCGACCGGCTGAGACGTGTCGGTGCAAAGATGGCTCGCTGCGTTGCGGCCCGCCGCTGCAGGAGGTTCCGCAAACGGTCGCTGCAGCGGGTTCGGGGGTGCCAGGGATAATCCCTGGAGCAGAAATTGGACTGTTGGGGTTGTCATTGAAGCAGTGGAAGCAACTGCAGGTGGAAGATTCCTCGCTGACCAGGATGAGGCTGCGTGCCTCTCGTTCAAGGGAATCGGAGGATCGCCCATTTTTGATGTTAACGGAGGGGTTGCTTGTTTGCTGGGATGTGGAAGCACAAAAATTTTGTATTGTTGTCCCGAAGGTGTTGCGGGGGAAACTGATTAACGAGATACATGAGAAATTGATGCATCTGGGGGAGAAGAAGACCGCGTTGATGGTGGGGAGTGAATTTTACTGGCCGGGAATGTTTAACGATGTGAAACAGCATGTAAAAGCGTGCCAGGAATGTGCACGGAGGAAAGCGCCGGCACGGCCATATCGTGTCCCTTTGCAATCGATTCAAGTTTCGAAAGTGAACGAAATTGTGGCACTGGATATTTTTGGTCCGTTTCCCGTCACCCCTCGAGGGCACAGATATTTGCTCGTCGGGGTGGAATATTTAACTTGTTGGCCGATGGCATGGCCGCTAGTAGACCAGTCAGCGACGTCGATCGCTGAGGCTTTCTTGAATGGATACATATTAGATAAGGGGGCCCCGGAACATTTGCTTCCTGACCAAGGCAGAAATTTTTCATCGAAATTGATTAAGGACGTGTGTGACTCGCTGGGGAGCAAAAAGATTCGGACGTCCCCGTACCACCCGCAGACTGACGGGATGGTCGAGCGGCGGCATAGGACGCTGACGTCCATGCTTTGTCACCAAGTAAACACCACTCAAGATGATTGGGATCTGCATGTTGCAGTGACGCTGGCCGCGTATAGATTGGCCCCGCATGCCTCAACGGGGTACTCGCCATTTTTTCTGATGTATGGACGGGAACCGGAATCGCCGGCTATTGTGAAATTGGGAATTCGAAAACGGGAGAAATCTACGACGGTGCCTGCTCCGATGCAGGTGGCTTTGGACCGTCTAAGGGAAGCCGAGAGGCTGCATTGAAAAATACGGCACGATGACAAGCCGCTAACGAAAGATTGTTCGGCAGGCAGTGGCCACGAGAGCCGTGGAGTGTTGGAGATAAAGCCTGGTTGCACTGCCCCATGGTGCCGGTGGGAACGTCCCCGAAATTTCACCGCCCCTGGCAGGGGCCCGTTGATATTGTGGAGGTTTTACGGGATCAGAGTGTGCGAATAAAATTCGGTCGTCGGACATGGTTTGTTCACCCGTCGCGCTTGAAGAAATTTGTGTTACCATATGATGCGTCATCCCCCATCCGAGTGCGGCCTGTATTGGATGTGTCCGACGAACCTGTGGGGAGGTCACAAGTGCGCGTGTCCCAGAGATCTGCCCCCCGTGTGCCTGCAGGATCGCCCATTTTGGGCAGGGTTACCGACCGGACGCCGATTGAACGGCCGCAAATCCGGACCAATGGCCATCCCGACCGTGAAGGACGGACAGCCCCGCCAGCGGAGTGTCGCTGGGACAGGGATGGGTGCAGGGTGGAGCCCAGAAGCGCCCCTCGTTGGCGAGACGAGCGAGGCCCTCCCTTACCGCAGGGTGTCCCGTGCAGGGGAGATGGGCCGGCAGCGGAAACCCGTTTCAGGAGGAATACAATACGTTGACTTTGGGGGTTTGGGAATTCTGTATAAAGGTGTTGTGTGCGTGTCGTTGTGTGGTTGTACAAAATGGTTATGTGTTGCGAATGCGTTATGTATATATGTTGTCATCGTTCCGTCCGCTTCACTCCACTACTCCAATTCGAGTATATCGTAGCCGGGAACGGCTAGGTTCTTTCATCACGGGGGGGGGGGGGGGGGGTGATGTAGTGGGGTAAACGATACGCATAATTAAATTGGCCACATACAGTACATACAGACATACAAGCAGAGTGGGTCACATAAGGTCGAGCAGGTGGTCGAGTCACGGGTGGCGTAAACAAAGCGAAGTAATTAAAGGAGTCATGGCACGAGGGCTGTGATTGGTCAAGAGGCTGTTAGCGTTAAGTGACGGCGTCGCGAAGTCTGGCCGTTGGACAGGTGGGAGCTGGTGGGAAAATGCCAGCGAGCCACGTGGCAATTAATTAAGGCTAATTGAAAAGGGGATAAAACGCTAGGTGATTTGAACGGGGAGTTGAGTTGTTGTTGGGCAGTTGTTGGCGAGAGGTGGAGAGATACGAAGAGGAGAGCTGGCAAATGTTAGGGAAGAATAGATTGAGAGCTGAACCCAAAGGACAGTAAATAGCGACAGGGAGAGTTAGCGTTAGCGGAGAGGTAGTTACGGCGGAGATAAGTACAGGGAGAGTTACAGATAGAGTCACTGTGTGTGCAGAGATAGATAGAGTCACTGTGTGTGAATAGACAGGCAAGTCACTGTGTGCGGAGATAGATAGAGTCACTGTGTGTGCGGAGATAGATAGAGTCACTGTGTGTGAATAGATAGATAGAGTCACTGTGTGTGAATAGACAGGCAAGTCACTGTGTGTGCGGAGATAGATAGAGTCACTGTGTGTGAATAGACAGACAAGTCACTGTGTGTGCGGAGATAGAGGAAGTCACTGCGTGTGAAGAGATAGCGGAGACACTGTGTGTGAGGAGATAGAGAGAGAACCACTGTGTGTGGGAGGAGTATGAGCGGACGGTGCTGAGGTGAATCAGAGTGTCCGAGTTGGCGGAGCCCGAAGAGGAGAATTACTGTGTGTGCGGAACGATGGAATAAAAGTGACAGTGGAAGAAAGGCGGTTGTCGTCCGAGTGAATTCACGGCACTACATTTGTATTCATTTTTTAAATTATTTTTCAATCTACGTGACTTTACTGAAAGAACCCAAGACTATAGATGTTGAAACTGTTCTCAAAGATGAGGGTGGGTGGGGGACTTCTATCCTATGACTAGAGAGACGATGTTCGTACCATTCTCAAATATGGGGGGAGCTGTCGCCTTGGTGCGAACGTGGCAGGCCATGAGGCTTGTTTTATACAAACTTCACCACGCTGCCCAGCGCAGATTGCTGACCCGTTCAGGTATCACTCGCCACAAACACGTGAACTGTGCATCGGACTCGAGCTCAGGTTGGCCGGGTTTCCCCGAGCGAGTGCAACGCCTCATCGCGTCTGCCTTCACAGCGCAGGCAACACGACGAACCAAAGTGCCACGTCGTTACGAGTTGGAAATGAATTCCCTAGCGGATAAACGTGGGGTAACATTAACCTTCATTTGACATTGCTCTACACAAGCCATTGCAGTTTGTGATAAAGCCGACATTGAACTCATCCCAGATCTGCATTAAGACTGACCACCCCTCTGTAAGCCGTGAACCCGGCTGCATTGTGGCCACAGAGGGGAAGGAATGTTCGCGTTGGCAGCCTTTGCATGGTGCGCTTGCAAAATGCGGGCGGAAGGGTGGCTTGGTTTTCACTGCGAACGTCCTTCCAAAATAACGCCACACTGACAACCATGTACACGGAAACACTTGCGTTTCGCGGATATGAAGTTGATTTGAAAAAAAACATTCATTTTACGTCACTCAAATTTCCCAATTGACTGTTAAAGCGCAGCGACAGGGGGCGGTGGCGTGACAGGCAAGCGATGTTGGCACGCGTTCACCACAAAGCAACGCGGCACGACAGGAAGCCACTGCGGTTTCACTCGCCGCGGACGTTAGCAGGAGTTGCGTTACGTCGCTTGTTTGAAACATTCACTCAAGGCATTTCTTTTTGATGTGAAGCTTTCGTGACTGCAGAGATTCATATTCTTGGTTCTTTCGGTAAAGTCGCCACCACGTAGAAGAAAAACAATAAAATAATAATGAAAATATATAAAACAATAAAATTCTCACGACGTTTCGACCGCGACACGAGCAATCGTCGTCAGGTGTGAAAACCGCAGCAAGAAAATTTGAAACGTCGTGAGAATTTTACTTTATTATGTTTTATCTTTATTATTTTATTTCCATTCTACGTGGTGACTTTACCGAAAGAACCAAGAAGATTGAACATAATTTTTGATTTAAAGCTTTCGTGACTGCAGGGATTCATATTCTTGGTTCTTTCGGTAAAGTCGCCACCACGTAGAAGAGAAACAATAAAATAATAATGAAAATATATAAAACAATAAAATTCTCACGACGTTTCGACCGCGACACGAGCAATCGTCGTCAGGTTATGAAAACCGCAGCAAGAAAATTTTAATTTTTTTATTGTTTCCCTTCCACGTCATGGTGACTTTACCGAGAGAACCAAGAACATCGATGGCATTCCGTGACGACTTGGAAAGCGGGGGCATCAGACATCGGCCTCGACGCCTCTTGTCGACGCAGTTGCGGTCGAGCGGCTTGCAGGAGCATCTTCACCTCGAAGGCAGCGTCGTTGCTCACACCGTGGTGCATCTCCGTGTATTTGGACCTGCCCGTGGACGGCTTCCGCCGGGCGGTCCGCGAGGCGCTTGTCGCCGTGCGCCTCGCGGCGGTAAAAGTAGTTGAAGTTTGAGACGATGACGGGCACGGGGAGGGCGATGGTGAGCACGCCGGCGATGGCGCACAGCGAGCCCACGATCTTGCCCACCGCGGTCACGGGACACATGTCGCCGTAGCCCACCGTCGTCATCGTTACGACGGCCCACCAGAAGGCGTCGGGGATGCTGCGGAACTCCGAGTTTTGTTGGTCGGCCTCGGCGTAGTAGACGGCGCTGGAGAAGAGGACGACGCCGACGAGGAGGAAAAACACGAGCAGGCCCAGCTCTCTCGTGCTCGCCTTCAAAGTCCGGCCCAGAATCTTCAAGCCCCTGGAGTGCCTGGACATCTTGAATATACGGAACACTCGCACCAGCTGGATCACCTTCAAAATCTCCAGCGACGTGGCCTGCTTGGCCATCTCTGTGCCGAGGGTAACGAAGAAGGGTAGAATGGCCACGATGTCGATGATGTTCATGATGCTTTTGAAAAATCCTGGTTTGTTGGGACACGTCAAAAATCTCACCAGCAGCTCAAAGGAAAACCAAATGATGCAAATGGTTTCCACAATAAAAAATGGATCTGTGAAAGGGCTGCGATTCGTACTTTCGACCCGCGTGTCGTTGACGTCCTTTGCCGGGAGAAAATTCCGTCTATTCTCGTCCCTGAATTCAGGCAGAGTCTCGAGGCAGAATACGACGATGGAGATGAGAATGACCAGTACGGAAACGATGCCAATTCCCCTGGCCGGGACGGAGCTCTCGGAGTACTCGAACAGCAGCCACACCCGCCGCTGGAACTCGTCCGATGGCAGCGGCTCCTCCTCCTCCTCCTCCTGGATTAAGCCCTCGTCCTCCCGGAACTTGACCACGGCCTCGCCGCTGAGCTCGTAGAACTCGATCTCCTCGCCGAACACGTCGACTGAGACGTTGGCCGGCCGCCTGAGCCGCCCGCCGGACTGGTAGTAGCAGAGGATGGCGTCGAAGCTCGGCCGGTTCCTGTCCAAGAAGTACTCGTCGCGCAGGGGGTCGTAGAAGCGCGACCTCTTGCCGGGGTCGCCCAGGAGGGTGTCCGGGAACCGCTCGAGCGTCTCGAGCCGCGTCTCGAAGCGCAGCCCCGACACGTTGACGACGATCCTCCCGCGGTCCTCGCGCGTCAGCGGCGCTGCCGTCCCGGCGCCGGCTTCGAGCGGCGCCGCCTCGTCCATGGCGTCTGGGGGCGGGGGGGGGGGGGTCAGGCTGGCAGGCGGCGGATTTCGACAGCGAGAAATGTCAGTGGGTACAAAGCCACGTGGGGTAAAAAAATATACGCGGGAAATCAGCGGCGGCAGCACAGGAATGAAATTGTATGTTTCGTATAAGTAAGAGTGGCTGTAAATACTCTTTGGTTCCATTCGGTAAAGTCACGTAGGTAAGAATAAAATAACAAAAATCACGACGTTTCGGCCACAACACAAGCGGCCTTCATCAGGTGAAGGGACCGAAACGTTGTGATTTTTGTTATTTTATTTTTTACCTACGTGACTTTACCGAATAGAACCAAAGAGTATGGATCGTTGCAGTCACGAAAGCTTCAAATCTAGAACTCCATCCGTCTGTTCCTGCCCCGGCACCCTCTTGTCAAATTGTAGAACCCATTGGTGGCACCGTGAGTCAAGAAATTTGCCCACCCCTGGGTTGGACTCTCGGGCGCGTTCTGCGCTCCTCTGGCTGTCACTCGGACTGGAAGAGTCACACTCCGACTCGGTGCATCACAGCCTTGAGAACAACGTTTAAACTATACTCTTAGCTCTTTCGGTAAAGTCACGTTGAAGGAGACACAATAAAATAATAGTTTCATATATATTATGAGACCTCCTTTGCCAGTAACAAGATATAGGAATAGGTTTTACCCTTTTAACTGGCACAAAAACTGACACCTTTATTCAAGGCATCATGTTTGCAATAACCACAACACAAGCAGTCAAAATGCGAACAAAAAAGACAACTCTGATAATAATATTGGCACTGTCCTTGAATTTTGACGTCTTCTGGTCCACACCCGAGACGGCTTTTCTTAGAGCCTAGTCTCCACTGGTGTTGGACCAGAAGACGCCAAAATTCAAGGACAGTGGATATTATTATCAGAGTTGTCTTTTTTGTTTGCATTTTGACTGCTTGTGTTGTGGTTATTGCAAACATGATGCTTTGAATAAAGGTGTCAGTTTTTGTGCCAGTTAAAAGGGTAAAACCTATTCTTATATGCTTTATATATTGTATTATTTTATTGTTTCCCTTCAACGTGACTTTACCAAAAGAGCTAAGAATATGAATCACTGCAGTCACGAAAGCTTTAAATCAAAATTTAACGTTTAAACTATTTCGTGAAAGTAAGTTGTTTTTGCTGTTGTCAGTAGGCGCATCTCTACACACTTGCAATGTCCTGCAACAGGCGGTGGCCTTGGGCTGCGGTCGTCTTTGCAACAGAGCTGCACTAAGCTCAGTGGGCCTCCTCAGCAGCTGCTGAGACTCAAGTCTGTAACGTGGATGAAGCAGCGGTGAAGTGGTTAGAACACTGAGCCATGACCCCATCCACCTGAGTTCAACTCCCGGCAATGGATAACATCAGTGGCCAATTATATAGGAACCTTGCCCTGTTCTGTCCCACCCGACATCCCCACCACCACCACCAACATCAACATCACGACCACCACCAACCAACATCATCACCACCACCAACATCATCACCACCAACATTCCCACCACCACCACCACCACCAACATCATCAATCATCACCACCACCGCCATCATCACCACCAACATCACCACCAACATCACCATCACCACCAACAACATCACCACTACCAACATCACCACCACCAACATCCCCACCACTGCCAACATCACCACCACCAACATCACCACCACCAACATCACCACCAACATCACCATCACCACCACCACCACCAACATCACCACCACCAACATCACCACCACCAACATCACCATCACCAACATCACCACCACCAACATCACCACCACCAACATCATCACCACCAACATCACCACCACCACCACCAACATCACCACCACCATCACCACCACTAACATCACCACCACCACCATCATTATCACCACCACCAACATCACCACCACCACCAACATCACCACCATCACCACCACCACCAACATCACCACCACCAACATCACCACCATCACCATCACCACCATCAACATCACCACCACCAACATCACCACCACCACCACCATCACCACCACCACCACCAACATCACCATGACCACCACCACCAACATCACCACCACCAACATCACCATCAGCACCAACATCACCACCACCAACATCACCACCACCAACATCACTATCACCAACATCACCACCACCACCAACATCACCAGCACCACCAACATCACCATCACCACCACCACCAACATCACCACCAACATCACCATCACCACCAACATCACCACCAACATCACCACCAACATCACCACCACCAACATCACCACCACCAACATCACAACCACCACCATCACCACCACCAACATCACCACCACCACCAACCTCATCACCACCACCAACATCACCACCACCACCAACATCACCACCACCAACATCACCACCAACATCACCACCACCACCAACATCCCCACCACCACCAACATCACCACCACCAACATCACGACCACCACCAACATCACCACCACTAACATCCCCACCACCACCAACATCACCACCACCACCAACATCACCACCACCAACATCACCACCACCAACATCACCACCACCACCAACACCACCAACATCACCACCAACATCACCACCACCAACATCACCACCACCACCACCACCAACATCACCACCACCACCACCACCAACACCACCACCACCAACATCACCACCACCAACATCACCAACATCACCACCACCAACACCATCACCACCATCACCACCACCACCAACATCAACATCACCACCACCATCACCACCACCATCACCACCACCAACATCACCATCACCACCACAAACATCACCATCACCACCACCAACATCACCACCACCATCACCACCACCATGAACATCACCATCACCACCATCACCACCACCACCATCACCACCAACATCACAAACACCACCATCACCAACATCACCACCACCAACATCCCCACCACTGCCAACATCACCACCACCAACATCACCACCACCAACATCACCACCAACATCACCATCACCACCACCAACATCACCACCACCAACATCACCACCACCAACATCATCACCACCAACATCACCACCACCACCACCACCAACATCACCACCACCATCACCACCAATAACATCACCACCACCACCATCATTATCACCACCACCAACATCACCACCACCACCAACATCACCACCATCACCACCACCACCAACATCACCACCACCAACATCACCACCATCACCATCACCACCATCAACATCACCACCACCAACATCACCACCACCACCATCACCACCACCAACAACATCACCATGACCACCACCACCAACATCACCACCACCAACATCACCATCAGCACCAACATCACCACCACCAACATCACCACCACCAACATCACTATCACCAACATCACCACCACCACCAACATCACCAGCACCACCAACATCACCATCACCACCAACATCACCACCAACATCACCATCACCACCAACATCACCACCAACATCACCACCACCAACATCACCACCAACATCACCACCACCAACATCACAACCACCACCATCACCACCACCAACATCACCACCACCACCAACCTCATCACCACCACCAACATCACCACCACCACCAACATCACCACCACCAACATCACCACCAACATCACCACCACCAACATCCCCACCACCACCAACATCACCACCACCAACATCACCACCACCAACATCACGACCACCACCAACATCACCACCACTAACATCCCCACCACCACCAACATCACCACCACCACCAACATCACCACCACCAACATCACCACCACCACCAACACCACCAACATCACCACCAACATCACCACCACCAACATCACCACCACCACCACCAACATCACCACCACCACCACCAACACCACCACCACCAACATCACCACCACCAACATCACCAACATCACCACCACCAACACCATCACCACCACCATCATCACCACCACCACCAACATCAACATCACCACCACCATCACCACCACCACCATCACCACCACCAACATCACCATCACCACCACAAACATCACCATCACCACCACCAACATCACCACCACCATCACCACCACCATGAACATCACCATCACCACCATCACCACCACCACCATCACCACCAACATCACCAACACCACCATCACCAACATCACCACCACCAACATCACCACCAACATCACCACCACCAACATCACCACCAACATCACCACCACCACCAACATCACCACCACCACCATCACCACCACCAACATCACCACCACCACCATCACCACCACCACCAACATCACCATGACCACCACCAACATCACCACCACCAACATCACCATCAGCACCAACATCACCACCACCAACATCACCACCACCACCACCAACATCAACACCAACATCACCACCACCAACATCCCCACCACCACCAACATCACCACCAACACTAACATCACCACCACCAACATCACCACCACCACCAACATCACCACCACTAACATCCCCACCACCACCAACATCACCACCACCACCAACATCACCACCACCAACATTACCACCACCACCATCACCACCACCACCAACACCACCAACATCACCACCACCAACATCACCACCACCACCATCACCACCACCACCACCAACATCACCACCACCACCATCACCACCACCAACATCACCACCACCATCACCACCACCAACATCACCACCACCACCAACATCACCACCACCACCAACATCACCACCACCAACATCACCACCACCACCATCACCACCACCAACATCACCACCATCACCACCACCAACATCACCACCACCAACATCACCACCACCAACATCATCACCACCAACATCACCACCACCACCAACATCACCACCACCAACACCACCTCTAACATCACCACCACCAACATTATCACCACCACCAACATCACCACCACCACCAACATAACCACCATCACCACCGCCAACATCACCACCACCAACATCAC